TTCCCCCACTGAGAGAGCAAACAGGTGAAAGTCCACTCTGTGTTCTGCTGGTCAAGCCTGTGTCCACTCACAAATGTTTTTTATGGGTTAGTTGGAGCCCTGGTCATGGTCTCGGGTGATTTACAAGCCAGAAGCTGAATAAATGGGCAGGTTCAGTATTTTAATCAAACAAAACTCAACAAAGCCACATTTAATAGAACATATGGGTGGCTTGTATCTTTCTAAGTCATTCATGCAAAGTAGCTTTTACCTTTATTCAGTGTTCCTTCTATTCAGCCACGTTAGCTGTGGGGAAGCAGAAAGGGAACTTGTTGAAACAGGAGGCCAAAGTGAAGGTCTCGAGGTGATCCTCTGGAGCCACAGTTTGGGATTCTTCCTCAGTGATGGGTCCCACACAGTCTGCTTGTTTCTTATGTCCAGGGGGCCCTAAAGTCCTGGGGTCAGAGCTCATATTTAACCAACCTAAAGGCATCAGCACCTCCCCTCTGGTAGAACTTGACTTTCTTACTGAGAATCAAAGAAAGAGGCATCAGAAGCTCCAGAGGATCCTGTTGGATAAATAGCAACTCCTGTCTACCTGTTCTTCTTACAGTTTAACTTTGGTCATCTTCCCACTCAGTGTAGAATCGATATCCCCTTTCTTTCAAACTGAACAGCTCTCTGTGACTTCCTTGACAAATTAAGAGTATGGCGAAGTGACACTATGTGACTTTCAAGGCTAGGTCATAAAAATTCTACAAACTTCTGCCTCCATCTCAGGAAACTCACCCGGCAGGAAGCTGTCTGCTGTGTAAACAGTCTGCCTGCCCCAAGATCACCATGTTGTGGGGAAACCCACACTAACCCACAAAGAGAGGCCACTGCATGGACAGCCCCTAAGACAGAGTGGAGGGCCAGGGATATAGCTCAGTGGCACAGTGCCTCCCTGGCAAACGCAAGGTCATGAGTTTGATCCCCGGTACCATAAAAAAAAAAAAAAAAAACAGAGTGGAGAGGGGTGCCTGCCCACTGTGCTGCTGCTCCAGTCCCAAACTAGCCACCGCTTGGCTGTAACTCCGTGAGAGACCACAGCCAGCATTGCTTACCCAAGCCCTAACCAAGTTCCTGACCTAGAGACTAAGAAAGATAATACAATGATTGTTGATGCTTTTAGGCCACTAGGTTTTGAGATTTGTTACACAGCTTGTAGGGTTTGGAACAACCAAACTAGAAGGATGTCAGAGAAAAGGAGCTCAGGATGAAAAGGAAATGCAGAGATATTAGAGAAAGATAAAGGCTAAAAATGGCAAGTTTTCAAAGAAAGAAAGGTGATGAAGGCATTTTAAAAAGAGCAGAGGAGACTCATCCTCTAAGAATGGCAAGGCAGTCAAGTAGAAAACACCTGGGCTGGAGGCAGGCAACCTGTGTTCCCTTCCAGCTCTGCTGCTCGCTGTGTGTGGCTTTGGGCAAATTCCTTCTACTCCCTGGAGAACATTTGTGAACTAATAAACTGTATGTGAAAAAAAATAGCAAATCCCAGAAAAGAACAGCAAAAACAGTGTCTCCTTGCTCCAGTTTGGGGTCACCAAGCACTGTGATTTGGTTGTTTGAATGTAGACTTTTCTCCTGCAAGATGCATTGAAATAGATTCTGGCCCATTTTCCCTGGATCAGGAAATTAATACAATGGGACTCCACTTTCTGTATCCATCTGATTATCCCACAAGGAAATTTGACCTGCACATGTGAAAGCAAAGACCCCAGGCAGTGGTGACCAAAATAAGGTGTGACCATCCTGTGGCACTGTGTCAGAAAATGACCAGCTGACCTTCCTAGTGGACAACTATTCCTCCTGGCCACAAGGGCCGAAACACTCATCTTTCAGGCCAAAAACAGAGAGAAGAGGAAAAACCAAGTAGTTCCTTGGAAATGAGGGAAGGAATAGTTGGAATAAGAAGAGAAAGGGTGCCAGATATGACAAGAGAGGTCGGGAGCCTGCCGCAGAGTGTGGCCTAGGAAAACCCGGCCTGACTGCTACATTTCAAATTGCTTTCCCTCCCTGCTTGCTGCCTTGCCATTTGACATCTTGGTCATGTACACTAAGAGAAAACAGATAATAAATGTAGTGGAGTTAAAGAAAATAATAAAGAGTTGAACAGGTTCCTCATCTAAAATATCCAAAAGATATATAACGCCAGAGCATAAGTGTAAAGTGTAATAATAGTATAGCCCTGTTTTTAATATTTAGATCATGGTATCAGCTATTTCATAGAATCCGATTACTAAGCATCTATAATCAACAAACATGAATTAGTAAAATGACAAGCCTAAAATTATTAAGAAATACTATAATTTTGAACCACCTACAATAAAATGAAGGTTCAAAACTCTAGGTTATTTGTTTTGCACTGCTGGTGGTCAAACTCAGGGCATTAGATATGTCAGCCAAAGTAGTCTACCACTGAGTGATAGCCCCAGCCTTAAATTTTAGGTATTTTCAAAAATCACTGCTATATAACTTTTTATATTACCAAATCCTCCAGGGAGAAACAGAAGTGCTGCAAGCACATAGGAGGGGTGATTGAAAAAATACAATTAATGCTTAAATTTTTAAAAATAGTTCTTACAGTAAAAGACACATTGCCAAGAATGATGGGATAATTGTGTCTGAAGCAGTCTGAATATTTTGAGGGGTAGTAATGACAGTGTGTCTTTTGCTATAAAAATTTTTTAATTTAAAGATTCACCATTTTTTTACTATCCATCATTGATAAAAGTTACAGCGATTTTTTTTAAACAAAACATGAAACATCCTTATCTACCTTATTAACTGGATTGGGCACCATGTAACTTCTGGCTCTTCCCCCAAATCAAAATGACCATAAAAGGTAAACTTTTTTTTGAGGCAGGGTCTTGCATTGTAGCTCAGGCTGGTCTTAAATTCACTTTGTAGCCCAGGCTGGCCTCAAACTCAGAGTAATCCTCCTGCCTCAGCCACCACCTCTAGTTAGGGTAAACATTTAAAATCTATTCAGGACATCAAGGCAGTCATGATAGCACAACTAAAGGTACTGACAAAAGAGGGACTTCTCAAAGTGGCAAGAAAGATGGGATAAGTATATTCAAACCAAGAGGGAATATTTTGAGGGTGGTGATGACAATGTATCTTTTACAGTAATAAATTTTTTAAAAAACTAACATTCACCATATTCCTCTACCACACCTCATCTATTGTTTTTGCCTCATCCTCTTTATGCATTTGGGAATTGGACAAGGCTCTGGGACCTCAAAGAGACTTTTGGCCACCATGCCTTTTGAAGAGAGTACCATGTAGTTGGGGGATCAAGACATCTACATAGCCATATCACCTGTATCATTTTAAGTACCCATTCAAAAATATCTGCATCCCAACTATTCTGATTGTCTCCTATTCAAGTACTAACTAGGCCCGACCCTGCTTAGCTTCTGAGATCAGATGAGATGGGGCACATTCTATCCTGATTGTCATAAGAAACCATTCCTCAAATAAACTGCATATATTTTCTTCACAGGGCCACACAGTTTAAAAAATAGCATAACCCTAAAATCAGACCAGACACAATTATGTTCCTATGCAACCCAATAAGCACGGGAAAAGAGAGGTGTACAGTGTGGCTGAGTCCACAGAATTAGCTGGGGATGGTGGAACAAGGAGTGAGCCTGGCAGGTGAGTTCTTAGAGGCTTGCACACTGACAGGGCTTTGTTCTGTGCCTATGATGATTAAAATCACAGTTGAAGTCAAGGGAGAGCAGGGGTCGAGCGAAAGTCACACATTCAAAGCCAGTTGTCAAAATTGGGGGCACTAAAGTAAGTGTCAAGGCTGACGTGTGCTGTCAGAGAAATAGGATAGATGAATGTGTGACTGACAACTCTAGGATGCGTAGCTACAAACAGCAAGATAGGAGGTGAGGACTTTTAGGGGTTGGGGAGAATAAGGAGGGGTGATGGGATGTTAATTCTCAAATGGGATTTTTTTCGGTTTTTTTTCTGGTACCAGGAATTGAACTTACAATCTTGTGCTTGCCAGGCAGGCACTGTGTCACTGAGCTAAATCCCCAGCTCTTGAGTGGGATTTTTATCTATTCCCAGTGTATATGTGTTAGAAAACATATGTACGAGGGTAAGTTGTGCCTACCTACAAAAAGACAGTATAGGAAAGACAGAAATTAGAATTGAACTTTCTAATGGGGGTTATAGCTCCATGGTAGAGGGTTTGCGTAGCATGCCTGAGGCCCTGAGTTCCGTCCCCAAACACACACACACACACACACACACACACACACACACACACTTTAACCTTCTTCTGAGACATAAACACTATCTTGTTTGGGGGGAGGTACTAGGGAATGAACACAGGGTCTTCACCCTGATCCACACCCCCAGACCTCTTTTTCAGGCACAGCCTCATTTGTATTTGTGATCCTCTTGCCTCAGCCTCTCAGAATCCTAGGATTACAAGCATGTATCACCATACCTGGTGTATATTATCATATTTATGTTTAAATATTACAGGCCAGTCTAGGTCTCTGTAGTTTCACTGGAGGTCACAGTATGTCTGATACCTGTGAGGCATACTTCCAATATTCCAAGCTCCTGGACAGCGTTGCCATGATGAATGGGCCACTTTTGCTTTCTCCCAGGACAGAATATGTGTAAAATGATCAAGCCATTCACAGGCTGTTGTAGAAACTTGCTGGCTGTTCTCATGGGTGATCTAACCCTACCCATAGAATCATAGTCATAATACCCATGATATTCAAAGCTCTTGCATAATAAACATTGTCAAAGAGATGAATGAGAAAGGCCATTGTATGATGTGTGAAGATATTCTTCACTCAGTGTCCAAGAAGACAACAGGCTGAGATTCTCTAATCTACTCATAAATTATCATTGAGAAATTGGAGGTAGGGAATCTTTGTGTCACAAAACAAGCTGTATTTAAAGCCAAATATGATAAAGGAGTCCATCAAAAAAGCCTGAAGTTGATGGTCCAAATAACAAAGAAAATTTAATGGTGTCTATATTTCTGCCATATATGCTCAGTCCTACAACACGCAAGCATGTTGTGGATGTGGTCAGGAGCTTCACTCACTGGCCTTAAGTGCATGATGGACAGAGGAAACTATGTGTGATAGTTAATCTTGCTTGGATTGAGAGATGCCTAGGAGATTAACGAAGCACACTTCTTGTTATGTCAGAATAGGTCATGAGGGTGTGACCATGGGGACCATATCTGGTACCTGGCCCCTTGCTCTCTGCTTTCCAGATGCCATGAGTTGAACATCTTTCCTGTGCCAGGCCTTTTGCTATGCTGTTTCTGCCCTGGAGTCTGCCAATCACGGACTGAAACTGCCAGCCAAAATAAACCTCTCCTTTCTTTTGTTCCAGCAATGGGAAAGCTGATCAATAAACACACCATGGTTCCTGGGAAGAATTATAATCATTGATCTGGTGTAGGATGGTAGGTAACTCCATTTTTTTCTGAAAGAAAAGAGATTTTTAATCAGATACGTGTATATATCCACACTGCTCAAAAATAAAGTATAGAATATTTAGCAAAATCCGAGGAGCAGGCATTTGCAGTTTTAGCTTGCTTTGTCAAGATTCTCTCAGTGTTTGACAAATTCTAACTCAAATTCACAAACTCCACAAAACAAGAGCAGGAACTCAGTTTATATCTTTCAGGAGAGACGTATTGAAGCATAAAATATTTTTTCTTCAGTAGCTAACATTTACTGGATTGAACTTACTGCTGCACTTACAAAGGAAACTTTAATGACCCACTAACTCTCTGAGTTGATTTCCCATTAAAGGGATTGGTTTTATGAGGATCTAGGAATATGTTTTTGCACCGTATCTTGTGAATTGGGTTCAGGTCTGTGGCTATAAAGCAAAGCTCAGCTCCTGGCCCCCTAAGTTCCAAGTCATGATCCCTGTCTGATCAACATTTGCTGTGATCAACTTGAACAACTAGTAAAGTCAGAGTTAGTCAATGATCTTACAAGACTACACGATCAGCTCTGTGACAACCGGGATCATGTCCTACTTTCTCATTGCTATCTCCCAGCAACCAGTGCAATGCTTGGAACACAATTAAGTATTTAATACATATTTAATGAATGAATTTTCCCCACAATATCAAGAGACTATATAACTCCTGTTTCTCCTTCCTCTTTGCCTTAATCCAAGTCCCATTTTCCAAAGGCATCTACTCTTATTTTGAAAAACGAATTTAGAAGGTAAAAGACCTTCATATGACTGGGATAGAGAAATGGTTGTCAAAATGGGAAAACTACCTGTACTCTTGAAACAAAAGGCAACATTTCCTCAGAAGTCAGTAATGATTGATAATAAGGATATGGTTAAGAAAAAAACAGCTCAAGGTCACAGTATCTTCTACCTAAGAAAACAGACTACTCTCCTTGCAAGTATTCTCTGTAGTGTGTGCTCCTTACAGGGTGGGAGAGTTATTCCGGGTCCTTCTGTGATTCCCGGTATGAGGGTCGACCCACTTGTAAAGGAATCTCAGAGAGCCAGAGGCAGAAAACAAAACTCTGAGAAGCCATAGCACAGACAGGAGCCGCAGCACGGAGAGCAGCCGCAGCGATCCTTTCGCACACCCTCTTACCTCCAGGCCGTGTTCTCCAGGCCCAAATGCCAACTCCAGCCAGGATGATGCTGAGCGCCATGGCTGCAGGGACAGCTTTTGTCACCAGAAGAATGACTTTCGATTCTGAAAGTAAGCAAATGAGGAAAATCCACAAGTCCCCTTTCCCTTCTATGGTAACACTGAGACTTCTGTCACTGTGATTAGTGGAAAACCAACAATATTTTCTTTTTATTGTCAGTTGTCACTCATCCATCTGATACCTAATGGAATATCTGCTCATATTTTCTTTTAATTTTGCAAAATTTCAAGTTTGTAATATATATAAGAGCAGTAGATATAATGGATAAAACAGCTGGGTGTGGTGGTATACACCTGTAATCCCAGCACTCAGGAGGCTGAGGCAGGATAATTGCCATGAGTTCAAGGCCAGTCTGAACTACACAGCAAGACTTTGTCGCAAAAAAAACCAAAAAACAAAAGAAACCCACAAAACAAAAAGGTCTCTGGGGTCCTCAATAATTTGTGTGAGTATAAAGGAGCCCTGGGGGACCAAGCATTGTGAAAACTACTGATTTGAGAGACCTATTCTACAGCTCACCGGGTGCTGCAGTGACCCACCTTCCTCTCTGGCAGCATAGCTTCCTGCCCAGCCTCTTTCCTGAGTCTCAGACCCCAGACAGTGATGACCCTTGTCCTTACCCTGGGAGTCCTGAATAACCATCTGGACGCCACAGTGCTCCACATGACAGGAGTAAATGTCATTGCTCTGAGGATCCAGCTCAACAGACACCCATGTCTGATAGGTTCCATCCCCGCTGGGAAGGACGTCTCCATAATCTGCTTCTTGGACAATTTCTTCCCCATTTTTCATCCACATCATGGAGATTTCTGGTGGGTAAAAGCCATGAGCTCTGCAGAAAAGAGTTGTAATCCCTGGAAAAGTTTCTTTGCGATTTGTTCTGAGAAGTGGAGGTTCTAGGAAGAAAAAGCTAGGGTTAAATGTTTTGAGTACTGAGCATACACTATTAAAACTTTGCAAGTGAGTTTCCCAAGTACTTTTTCCTCACTGTAAGAACTATTTAATGCTAAGAGTGCCCAGAACCCAGGTTCACCAACAACAAGCATTTATTATGTACTTTTCACTAGGGCAGTGTGCTAGGTAATGAAGTCATACTGTTCTGTAAGGGAGGTCTATAGCACTGAATGTTTAGGAAGTGTGTTGAGATTATTTACTATTTGAAATACATTTACGTGTCAAGGAAGACTGAGTCACAAAAGTGTGTGAATATTCCTGGTAAGTAACCCAGGAGATTGGAGGTTACAACTCAGCATGCTTTGATCTCAATTCTGTGTTCAGGGCTAATAAATAATACAGACATCTCAGCTCAGCTTTGGTTCTGAATTGTCATCTGTACTCAGGATGGCACTTTGATGATTGTCATCAGATACAAACATATGTAATAGATCATCTACCCTCAGAGGAGCCACAGAAACTGATATATAGGAGGACTCCAGCAGTGACAAGGAATTGTCTCTTTGTGATTTTGCTTCCTCGTGACGACGGTTAATTTTCCATATGGCGCCATCCTTCACATCTCTGGCTGAAACTGGGACAGAGAGCCATACAGAGACCAACCATACTACCTGGAAAAACTGTGTCTTGCACTTCTCTAAGATTCATCTCCTCACCCCCACCTCATTAAATGCCACTCCTGGTACAGGAAAAGCGTTCCCATCAGCAATGCCCTTTTTCCTGAGGCATGAAATTTAGTAGAAGAAAAAAAAAAAAGGCTCTCTAATATTAAAATAAAGTATAAACGGCACCAAGACAGACTGCTTTTTGACAGTGCCTGTAAGAAATCAACCCTTGGGGGAGGGGGAGGGGAAGTAATAAGAATTAAGATGTGTTATACACAAGCACCAGCTCCCCACAATGAATGTCATCATTGTGTACTGAAAACATGTACTAATAAAACCTCCTACAGGATTAGGATTAACCCTTAAATCTTAATTTGTATGACCAGAGCCTACTAGTTTACAAAGTGTACATTATTTTATATCAATTTCCCTGAGGTAAGCATTATTACAGTATTTATTTCACTTAATATCATTGCTTAGTTGGCCTAGTACCTATTTGCTCCACTTTTTCTGATAACAGGAACCCTTTATCCTGCTAAACAACATATTTTGGAAAATATCCCACCCCCAACATGCCGGGGTAGTATGTTTTTGAGACAGGGTCTCCTTATATAGTCCAGATTGGCCTTCAAATCACAATGTAGCCCAGGCTGGCCTTGAACTTGCAGCAATCCTCCTGCCTAAGCCTCATGAGTGCTGGGATTACAAGTGTGTGCCACCATACCTGAGTGTTCTTCTGTTAAGAAGTGCCAATCTTAGTATCCCCTCCCCAAACTGTGTGCTGTTGTTGAGACTTTTTGCTAGTCCCTGACCTTCTGTACCTTCCTGTGTTCTGAGTACAGAAACCTGGACTCTTCAGCTTGCTCTTCCAGGGCTCCGTGGCCTCTAGCTTCCAGATGGGTTCGGCCATTAGGGTGAGCATCCTTAGCCAAAGATCAGAAAGCTGGAGGAGAGATGGGATTTTAGCTACCAGTGCCACCATGTAGCTCATGGACAGTGGTCATTCTCTTCCAAAATCACAGTTCTACCTGGGTCTTCTTCCAATGTTCCAGCTCTTACTGGGTTCTGCTAGGAACATTCCCTTCTCCCCTACTCTTTGCATTACTGGAGGGCATGGCTTCCCACTGTTCCAAGTCTCCAGACACTTCACCATCCCTTACTGGTTTCCTTAATCCTCATTATACCTTTGCAGAAGAACCCTTATTGTAATCTCCTGAGTGAAACCATTTGGAGTATGCCATTTAGTCCTTGCCTGGACTTTGTTACCCACGGCCAACCTTAGAAGCTTATCCTGATGCTTACGGTGATTAGTCTAAGAAGCAGCATGTGACCCAACTCTGGTCAGTCAGAATCCTCCTGTAACTTATTTACTTAGGCAACTAATGCTGGGAGACAGCAGCCCATTCTTTCAAAACAGTCAAGCCAAGGATATGAGCTTTGTGCGGGACAACAACTCCACGTCATGTAGAAAGCCATTTAAATCTTGGTTTTGATTCCTCAGGTCTCCATGCTGCCCGGATTCCTGCCTTAAAATGGATTCCCTCTTTGTGTGTGAGCCAGTTTGAATAGATTTGTGATTCCTGAAATCATCAATGTTAAGATAGTTATTCAGTTATGGGGGCAGAGGGTCAAAATCAAACTCTAGTCATCTGCTTCCAGAGCCTGTGCTTTTAAACAGATAGTGTGTGTTTGTTACTTCGGCTCAGACACCTCCCCTCTGGGCCTGCCACAGCTCTGGAAAGTCCCTCCCCTGGACAGTTTTCCCGTGGGAAAAGGCACATTGTGTGGAGGAGTTTCCTGTAGAAAGGTACAGATGTAATTCATTTACCATAATTAGATCATACATGCAAAATTCTGCATTAACCAGAAATTGACCAATAGAACCATATCTTTAAAGTAGAAGAGTAGCTCTTTAATAAAGGAATTGTGGCATTAATCCTCAAGTAAAGCAAAGGCCCTCTGTTGTCTTCTTAATAAACCAGAGTTTTACATATATGGGGGTTCCTAAACACTTTGTAAGAATTATCTGACCTCTGAAAGTATTTTCCAATTTACCACTATCAGGAGATGGAGGGATTTGTCTCCCCAGATCCTCCCCTCACAAGGAGGTGCTCTTAGGTGGTATTCCATTCTCTCAAAGCAAATAGAATTGCTAAATCTTGTCAAGATGGTGTTGAGTAGGGCATGGTGGGCCATGCCTGTAATCCCAGTACTCTGAGAGGCTGAGACAGGAGGATCATACATTCCAGTTCAGCCCGGATAGCTTTGCAACGTAGGGAGACCCTAACTCAAAATAAAAAATAAAAACAGACTGGAGACGTAACTCAGTGCAGAGGCCCTGTGTTTAACCTCCAGTACCACAAAAAGCCTGTACATGAACACACACACACACAAAGATAGTGTTAAAAAAAAAACTAACCAAAGAAAGTTCTCACAAGGGTCACGTATCATAATAGTCCAGCTGAAGACAGAGTTCAGCGTGGGGTGACTATCACCTACATAAATGAAAGTGACATATAAAACCAATTGTTCTGGGGATGTGTGAACAAAGTGTTCTTTCTTCTCTTTACCTGTTCTTTGTAGAGTATCGTTTCCATATTCTAGGAATCTCTTTAGCCAGGCAATGCATTCTTTTTCTAGCCAGTTCTTTTGATACTGTAACTCATGTTGATTGGCCTCCCATGCCCGCTTGGTGATGTGAGCCACATTATCTACAGCTATCCAGGAGAGAGTGTCTTTATTAAAGATGATGAAGTCCTGTCCATCATATGCATATTGAAGAAATCCTGTGGTACTTCCATCTTCCAGCAACTCACAGCCGATCATTCTCTGGTAAGTGTGAAACCCTGGAAAACACACATGAGCCATGAGGGGGTGGACCCAGGGACAGAGGCAGCTCTCAGGTGAGGTGACTGGGGCTTGGCTAGAAACATCCTCTGCCGTAGAGATACCACCCCTCCCTCCGTATGTCTCCAGGAAGTTCCTGTTATATAAGCCTATCAACAGATATTTGTGGAGTACCTACCATGTGCCATAGGAACATGATAATTCCTGTCTTGGGGAGTTATCTTGGGAATGATTAACTGATAAACTTTGTAGCCCTAATGAATGCGTGGAAAGAGATATCCAGGAAGCAGAAATATCACTGGGGAAGTTAAGGTAGTAAGTCATTATGCATAAGCTAGCAAACCACTGAGCCATCAGGGAATCACTGGCCATCAGGGAATGAGACCTGAGTCTAGTCTGAACTAGACAAATTTAGAATGAGAAAAGAGAAGACGCGTGTGAGAAGGCTGGATGGCAACAGGATAGGTACATGAGGTAAAAGACAGAGGGCCTCTGGGGAAGAGAAGGACAGTTAGAAAGATGCATAAGGCAGATGGTAAGCACCAAAGTCCATCAACCAGATTTTCCAGGCTTTGCCAAAGCCACAGAGAGTGGAAGTGAGCAACTGTTCACATTCACCACAGGCAGCGGGAAGCCTGTGCTGGGAAGAGCCCCCAAGGGAGCACTCCTCTGCAGGGAAGCCACACCTGAGTGATTGTAGTGCCTCTGCAGGTGCCTCAGCTCCATCTTGAACGTCTGTTCCCAGCCCCTCAGCAGCTGAGTGTACCTCTCCCAGTGATCAGGTGCCAGGTTTTCTGCCATCCACGTAGCCCGAGGCTCCTTCCGTCGGGTGACACTGTCATATGTGGTGATAGGGTGTGAGTCCACATACCCGACTGAGATAAATTCAGGGACACCATGGCTAGGATCCGAAAGGCCCAGGCGAAAATATGTCAGAGAGTGAGTCCCTGGGCAGGAAGCAAGGACAGAAGTTATTGAGAGTCACAGATGACCCAAAGGCATAGACTCCATTCCACTGAATCCCCGCACCAGTGTCTTCCACACCCATGACTCCAGGCCCCACTGCCATTTCCTCTTATAGAATTAAAGAACTCCAGGAATTGGGATGTCAGAAGGGCTTTAGAGCTCTAGATTTTTTGTTCAGGTTTAGAATCTTAGGATGAAAGTTGACAGGAAACCTCAGCGTGTAAGCACAGAATAGTATGCTGCTCTGGTTTTGGGGGAAGAGCCCAAGGTTACCCGCTGGGGTTCCCAGTAGGGGACTGTGCCTGAGGAAACCCTAAGGAATCTAGAATTGAAAACCCTGATAGTCTAATTAGCTTCTTTTACCAGCCAAGCCTCCGGTGAACAAATGAGGACCCCATTCCACTCCTGTGCAATACATGTGGGCCGAAACACACACACACACACACACACACACACACACACACTCACACTCACACACACAGAGTTGGGTAGACCAAGAGCACCCATAAAAACTCAGGCATTGGAGAAAAATTTTTTAAAAAGCTTTCCCTTTCGTATCAAACCAACCCCATTAGCCAATCCCATTAGGAGTGTGATCATGATTAAGGGTTAAAAGTCAACTGAAATGAAACAAATGTGCTGCTCTCTGATGTTCCCACTCAACTCTCAGCTTATGCAAGAAACTCAGTATCTGGTGGAAAGAGACAAGGTGGTTTCAGAGTAGCCAGATGGGTGTCACTATGGCGTCTGAGCAAGTGGGTGCCCTCGGGGAAGACTCTGCAGGGAAGTGATGTTTTAGGGGAGATCTTGGCCCTGGCTAGGAAGTAAGCAGGCAAATGGACTAGAAGGGACCCAGGAGAGGAGGGCAGCAGGGGCAAGGAAACCTGGGGTGCAAGTGGCAGGTCTGAGAGAGCAGGGTGTACTGTGTGAACCAGATGGCCCAGAACGACTGTACACAGCATCGCAAGGGGACTGGGAGACATGATGCCTGGGACGTAAGCAGAGCCCAGGCTGAGAAGGCCAAGGCCCTCCATGTCATGCCATGCCAAAGAGCTGGTAGACAGAAGGCACACAGATCTGCCTGCTGTCATCTGAAAATGTCTGTCTCGAGCCTTTCTCATTACCTCCTTTGAATCTGCCCCATCTAAATCCTTCCTGGTCATCAGTGCCCCTCTTCAAAGACACTCCTAGAACCACCCCTGATAACTGCATGGCCTAGTCAAGAGGACAGTTGGAAGCCCATATACCAGAGATCCAAATATCTAAAAGGAATAAATTAAGCAAAAAAAAAAAAAAAAAAAAAAAAAAAAAAAACAAGAAAACAACTAAAAATCTAATTTGAAAAAAAATAAGAGGCTAAATATAGTCTGTCTTCTGATTCTTTAGGAAGAGTCATTCATATGACCTTGACAGTAAAATTCAAAGTTCAAAGTCTAGACTTTGTGAAGAACCAGACCTAGATATAGTGACACAGAAATCTGGCCTTTTTGGTCCAGGCCCTGGCCCTCAACCTAGGACCCACCTCCTTCTCTTCCCATTTCTAGTTTCATTCACCTGGCCAAGGCCTTGAGTTCATATTTAAATGACCTTCTCCTCATTCAAGCTCCATTCACAAAAACAGCCTCTTGGCTACCTCTCAGGCCCAGAAAGGGCTCACAAACAGACATGCCGCCCTTCAGAGGATGGGCCTAAATCAGAGGCTTGTGCAAACCTACAAAGCTCTGAGTCATCTACCAGGGAGCTCCAGGTCCCCAGGTACATGGGGTATGTTCTACAATGGACGGGCACCGCATGGGGTGATCCCCTCTCCTTGGCCTTCTGGACTCCTTGTTTTAGAGAAAGCGATAGATAGTACAGGACCAGTGTGAGGCTCTCTAGAGTATGGGAACACATCTAGGAGCTACTCTCACCTCTTTCACAGGGCTACACTAGACTCCATTTCCCCAAAGTCTTTACAGATTGCTAACTCAATGTTGTCATCCCCTTTGAGAGCTCTGCTAGAATTTGGATCTTCTGCCATGGTCCTTGTCACTGAGCAAAACCTGGTGTTAGGCTCCTATTCCCAGACTAAATACCACTTAATGAAATTCCCTCCCTCCTCTTCACTTATATAGTTGAGAAAAACATCAAACTTAAAAAATGTAGCTCACTAAATAGTTGGGCTAGTTTCTCTGCAAGCAAGCCTGTCTATGTATTTGTTTCCTCCAAAATTGTCTACCATAGTTTTTTTTGGTTTTTTTGCAGGGGGGAACCAGGAACTGAACTCAGGACTTCTGGCTTTCAGCGCGGGTACTGTGCCACTGAGCTATATCCCTGGCTTTGTCCACCATAGTTTGGATCTTAAATGCAACCCAAATGTCCATGTGTTAAAGGCTTGGCCCTCAATGTGGCACTATTGGGATATGGTAGAACCTTGAGGAGGTGGAGCATAATGGAAGATCTATGGTCACTCAGGGAGTGCCTTGGAAAAGGATATTGAGGCCTTTGGGTCCTCTTTTTTTCCTGTCTCTTTGCTTCCTGGCCATGAGGTAAGCAGCTCCACTATGTACCCACTCCATGAAGTGCTGCCTTACTACAGGTCCTAAAACTGCTGGGCCAACCAGTGATGGAATAAAACCTCCAAAACTGTAAGCCAAATAATCTCTTTATCAGTTGATTATCTCAGGTATATGTCATAATGATAGAAAGCTGACACACTCTCTATGAAAGACCAACCAGTAACCCCCAATCCTGAGTACCTTTTCTTACCTTAATTACCAGGAGAAACGGGATCCCCTGAGATGGAACCAGGCCTAAGCACCTTTTCTTCCCTGCTTCTCAAGCTGGGCAGGCAGTGTAGCAGGATTTAGGGAGAGTGCCCAGCCTCACAGGCTCCCTTCTTGCAGGTTTTATTCTGCATGTCAACAGCAGAGCTGAGTGAGATGAGACTGGTCTCCCCGAGGTCTTAGCATCACTAGATCCCCTATGTCCTTCTGTATTGCTTTGACCTTTTTACTTTCCCAGTCTCTTCCCGAGGGAGAGGGTTGAGGTTGAAAGGCAACACAGCCAAAGTCTCTGAGGCTGCCACAAGACTCTCTCTTCACAAAAGTGTTGGCTTTCATGAAAACAACAGCCAGAGACTGAGGCAGAACATTGCCTTCTATACAGTTTATCTGTACTTAATCTCTACCTACTTCTCCATTTTATGGCACTTAAGAACTGGTACTTAGCTATTTTCCTTTGCACTTCCCACAAGAGATACTATGGGGAGTTTGGCACATGGTTGGAAATTGGTAAATACTTGGCAAATCAAATTGTTGGTGAAGCAATTTATTTCTCTGCTTTGAAATCATGAAATATGCTAAAATGCATATGAGTCTATCTCACCTGAAACTTAAGAGTTTAAAAAATATTTTTCTCTCAAGGGAAGGCTGGGGCATAAGAAGCAGAGCTGAAATCTAATTTATATCCAATATGGGATTTGAAAAAGGCCAATATGCTTGAGCCTTGATCGATTTTCAAAACAGTTTTATTTCTCCAAATCTGGAAAGATTTTATGGCTACTCTGGAGATGCAACTGTTCAAAGATGGAAGCAAAGGGAAGAACAAGTCATAAATATTAGTTCTCACACTTTCTTAATATTTGTGTGGGGGCTGGGGATTTAGCTCAGCGGCAAAAGCGCCTGCCTGGCAAGCGCAAGGTCGTGAGTTCGGTTCCCGGTATCGGAGGGAAAAAAAAAAAAAAAAAAAAAATTTGTGTGAACACTTAAAAGAGAAGTGAGGATGTCATGTGAAGCAGTAATTCTTTTAGAGTCTTGAGCACACACCAAACAAAACAGATAAAAAGTGTCAGCTACCATGGAGCCCATATTCTAGTGGGGGAGGGGATTACAAAATAAGTGAAATACATTACAAAATAAGTGAAATATTTTATTATTGTTTATTATTCTTATTCTTATTTATGTGCTTTGGAGAAAAAAATAAAGCTTCAGAGAGAATACATGACACAATTTTAGACAAGAGGGCTTATGAAGGGAAGTAGCCCATAAAGGTGACTTCTGAGAAGGTGGCTAAGAGAATGAGGAAGGCAGGTGTCTGAGGACAACAGTTAGGCAGCAGGGAGCATGCAAACACCCTGAGGAAAGAGCACACCTGGCCTACTTCAAAAGCAGCAAGAAGGCCTGTGGCTGGAGCTGAGACAGGGAGAAAGAACGAACTAGGAATCACCTCCATATTTATTTATAGGAAAACCCTTCACAGAAAGCAGATTTCAAGTACAGAATGGGAAGAGGAGACAGAAGAAGGAAGGGAAGAGGTGCTGTTACCAGGCTAAGTTGGATTGGTGTAGAATGTCCACTGGGAATCTGGGATTCCTGTTACGATATCTGGAGTCTACATTCCTGGTAGATGCAGACAAGGAAGTATTAACACCTTGGGACATTACTTCCATAAGTCCTCACTTCCAGGATTTATTCTAGGTCTCACTAAGAAACACAATATTTATAATTCATGTAATTTTACTGTACTAGTCAGCTTTCCATCACTATAACAAAATACCTGAGATAATTAACTTACACAGAGAAAAATGTTTATTTTGGCCGACAGTTTTGGAGGTCCCAGTCCATGGTTGATTGCCCTATTCCTGTGAGGAGATAGAACCTTGGGGCAGAAGAATGTCATAGAGGAAACACACTAACATCAAGAGCCACAGACAGAGAGAAAAAAAAAAAGAAGGGAAGAGACTAGGGCCCCACAATCCCCTTCAAGGGCATTCCCCAGTGGCCTGAATACCTCCCAAAGGGCCCTGGCTCTTAAAAGTTCTACCATCTCCCACCTGCACCATCCTGGAAACCAAATCTTTAACACACGGGCATTTTGGGGACATTCAAGATTCAAACTATAGGGGTTGGAGATGTGGCTCAGTGGTAGAGCTCTTACCTTGCATGTACAAAGCCCTGGGTTTGGTCCCCAGCACCACACATAAAAAAACTAATAATAAATA